TGTGCACCTGTGTTTTTAGAAGGAGTGTAACCCCATCCAGCACAGGCTGCATCCCTATTCCTCAATCTGCCTTTTGACTGACCAGGAGCACCTCTTGTCTAGTTTGGATTAAGTTTCAGTTTATTCACCCTCTTCCAGTCACTTACTGAAACCACATCTAGTAACACGAAATAAAGGATTGCTTAGACATGTACATTTCCTTTCTGTCTTGCTGGTCTTGCTTGATTGAGTTTTTGTCAACTAAGGAAGAGAGAGAGAGAGAGAGAGAGAGAGAGAGTCCTCTGTGTAAATGATTACTTAACCAAATCCCTTCATTATTATATTACTACATTTCCTTTGGTTCCACTCAAACATTAGAACTTTTTGTACTTGAACTATACTGTACACAGAAGCCGCACTTATTAGTCATTTCCTCACTTTCATTTAAAAAATAAATAAAGAAATGCAGTAATAACGTTTGCAACACCAGGTTCTCTGCTTCTTGCACAGAGCATCCAGGCTCAGAAATGAATCCAGGAGTACCCCCCTAGCTGCACACCTGGCCCACACCTGAGAGTTAATTCAGCCTCATCCAGTCCATTATTGATACTAGAGACTGATCTAGAACTAAAACAGTTTCCTCAGATTTGGATGGAAATGAGAGGTAGAGTTGGGTGTCATCCGCATACTTGTGACAGTGAACCCTAAAACTCCAGATAACCTCTCCAAGTGGAGTCGTGTAGATGTTAAATAGCATAGGGGGCAAAACAGAACCCTGTGGGACACCACAGGCCAATGGCCAGGGCATCAAACAGGAGTCCTCCAGTACCACCTTCTGGGTTTTCCCCTCCAGGAAATATTGGTGCCACTGTAAAACAGTGCCTCCAAGTCCCATCCCAGTGAGATGGCTGGGAGTGATACCATGATCATCAAATGTTGCTGAGAGGTCCAGTAAAATCAACAGGGGCACGCTCCCCCTGTCTAGTTTCTTGTGTAGGCCATCCATCAAGGTGACTAATGCAGTGTCTGTCCCATAACCAGGCCTGAAGCCAGGTTGAAATGGATCTGGATAATTCATCTCATCCAGGAACCCCTGGAGCGGAGAAGTCACAAAACAGTCCAGCACTTTGCCCAAGAATGGGATATTCAATTCAGCATGTGACACCTGGCCAGCCAGCCAGAAGCACAATTGACCACTGCAACTCCACCTTCCCACCCCACCCCAATTTTGCCTGCTGCTGCACAGAAATGCCTGATGGACATGGCTGAGTGAGACTGACACCCCCAGCCTCATCCAACCAAGTCTGTGTGATGGGAACGAGATTGTCCAGCTCATCCAGGATCACGTCCTGGGTGGCCGTTGCTTTCCCATTGACTGATCTGGCATTTAGCAGCAGCATTTTCAACCCACAGGACCTGATATGAAGGCTATTCAAGTATTTATATTTGGGGACAGTTTATGGCAAACAATACTCTTTTCCCCCTTTCTCACACATCATGCTGTGGTTGACGTCCCCCACCATATCTCCTCCTGTCCAGAACAATTCAAATATCTGCTCCCTGACTATCCCACCATTCTCCCTCCAATAAGAACACATCCTTCCACAAGCAAGGACCTAAGTTCTCAATTTTTCCTCCAAGTTGGCAGGGGCTGGCAAACAATTTCAACAAGAAACCAAAATGGGATGGAGTAACTTGTTTTGTAAGGCATTCTATCCATGTTGAATGTTTATGTATTCTACAGATCACAACTTCACAATTCAGCATGTGTTCCTCACCCCCAGGTGATGAAAAATTTGCTTCACTCATGTTGTCTGGTGATTCTGGGACCTGTTGACTACAGAAGTAATTGTTCAAGCTCATTTCCCCTCTATCTAATATATATAACTCTCCTGAACTAAAGGAACAAGAGGCCCCAGCCTCTTGCCTGGCTCTTGGTTATCAGAGCTAGCAATCCTAATGCGAGAGGACGGACTGGATATTTGAAAAGGTTTGGGCTATTTAACATAAGACAGATCCTTCTATATATCAGAGGGATGGATCCTTGTGGGCATGTTTACGATGTCTGCCCATTCATGTGCTTCAAGAAAGTTCTGCCCAAGTACATGGCATAACATTATCAGCATAAAAATATAGGAAGGTATTACTTACCAGAGTTTGAAAAACTTTTTAAAAATAAAATACAATTCTGGAGGAACTTTAATTTGATCCACAGTGCATGTGGCCCAGTAAAGGGAGGGAGCACTCAGGGTTGCAACATTTTCACATGGGTGGGCCAAGCAGGGGAATGTAAAGTTAGATGTATCCCTCAGATGTACCATAGGATCTGATCCAGGTTAAACGATCCAGTTGACATGTTGACTGCAGAACTTTCCATTTACAGCATGGAGAAATTACTTTTTGGAACTACAGAACGAAAGCTTCTAAAATCCCTCAACCAGTCCATACTAGCTGGAGAACTCTGTAAATTATATTTCAGAAAATAATGTTTCCAAGCTCTGCACTGTAGAAAGTATTGATTCATGCACTCATTCTATCTCTGAGTGGGTTTTAAGATAATGTTTGTTTGGTGTCAGAAATTAGTAATGGCTTCACATTAACAATACTATATTAATTGTTCCCAAACATCACCTTGCCAACAAAGGTCCGCATCGTCAAAGCTATGGTTTTTCCTTTAGTGATGTGAGAGCTGGCCCATAAAGGCTGACCGCCGAAGAATTGATGCTTTTGAATTGTGGTGCCGGAGGAGGCTCTTGAGAGCCCCCTGGACTGCAAAGAGAACAAACGTATCCATTTTGAAGGAAATCAATTCTGAGTGCTTACTGGAAGGACAGATCCTGAAGCTGAGGCTCCAATACTTTGGCCATCTCCTGAGAAGAGAAGACTCCCTAGAAAAGACCTTGCTGTTGGGAAAGCGTGACAGCAAGAGAAGGGGATGACAGAGGACGAGATGGTTGGACAGTGTTATCGAAGCTACCAATATGAATTTGACCCAACTCCGGGAGGCAATGGAAGACAGTAGGGCCTGGAGGTCACAAAGAGTCGGACACGGCTTAACGAGTAAACAACAACAAAACAGGGCTTTCAAAGTAAGTGAAATATTTAAGGAGTGGTTTTATCAGTTCCACTCCCCTAGTGAGTTTCCATGGCCAAGTGGGGATTTGAACCCTGTCCTCCAGAATCCTAGGCCATCATCACTCTATCCACTACACCACGCTGGGAATCCCAATGCAGTAGTAAAGGATGAAGAAAATGGCATCACAAGCAGCTTGGGGCTTATTTAACATATGGCTCAAAACTCAGTGATGTTTGTAGGTCATATTTTCACAAACCTTTTTAAATTAGGAGTGGAATAACTTGATCCATAAAATATATGAAGAGGCTGCTACAAAATTTTGCATGCTGAGTTTAGATCTAAGGATGTCACTCACCCAACAGGATGAGCTTCCTCCAGTGTGTCTCTCATAAGGCAGTCTGACTGATTCAGAGGACGTTTTAAGTATGTTTGAGAGTCAGCTTGACTTTGTCCTGAATGGTGTCCCATGAATTTTGGACATAAATAAAACCCATTTGAGGGAGATGGAAAAAGGTCATAATTGCACAATGTAAGATTATAACTTTATTTTTGTTAAAACATACAATGTTTCATTGAAACTGTGTAGTACTCTTTCCCCAACAATTGTAGTTAAATTGTTGATCTAACAATGCACTGTGTTTCTTTCTATATATACATATACAGTATATACAAATAATATCACACCTGTACACGAAGACTCAATAGATTGGTTTTAAAATCAGTCAATGTACTCCCAAAATCTGAACTTTATGGACCCCAAAGAAACTCATGCTTCTTGTAGTGTACACATTTGTTAGTACATATCAGTCAAAAGCTTCATGTACACAAGAGCTTACCATTTCTTGTTATGAAGGAAACATTTGCATCCACAAGGTGAAGCCCTTGCATGCACAGAGTTTTGCACGCCACACAGTTTTTCTAGACATGGGCCAAGTTGCAAAGAATTGGCAAGCTAGTTCTGTGACCCCCTCCCCGTTCCTTTAACAGCAACCACTGCCTTCTATCCTACAAATGAAACTTCCTTCGAATCTACAGAAGTTTGCAACAAGTTTGCTGATATGGTGTGAGGAACAGAGGGGGGAAAAGGTGGTACTGGATGTCTCGGGGCCTTGTTTTGTAATGTCAGTGTGCCCTTATGCAACTTGAGTACAGCATTTCAGTTTGAGCAGCTGTACTCTTTTGCTGGAAATGTCCATCTGACACCTCTTTCCTGGATATCTGACATGAGTGTACCATGGGAACAGTGTGTTAGTGATTAAGCATAAAGAAGGCTTATATACATAAATGCAAAATCCCAAACCTACATTATATACAGCATACTTACAATATATACACACATAATTTATATACAGAAGATATGCATAAATACTGAAAAAGAGGTTTTTAAACTTCAACAGGTTATTGTTCTATAAATAACATGTTAACATTTTATGGATGAAACAACATGGAGGCAACAAACAGTGGTTTAATACTGAAACTCAGGTGATACTTGAAACCTCAAAAAAGCAACTTACCCTAGCGATACCCAGCAGAAGCAGCCAGTGAATTTTGTGAAAAAAAAAAAAAAAAAGAAAAAGCAATTCACAGTGTACTGCCCAGACAACTGTGGACCTGGGCTGCAGTTATATATATGGGAATGGGAATTAACTTCCTGGGAAGTATGTTTATATCCATGTTTATATATATTGTATTTGTGTGTGTGTACTTCCCAGGGAGTTAATTCCCATTGAACTCAATGAGACTTACTTCTGAGTAAACATGGCTAGGATTGCACTGTCACTATCATTTAGTGAGATACACAGATACTATTATGACTTCGGTCCTTCTTATACCTACTGAGATGAACCAAGGAATCTATCTTCTTAGGCCAGTGATGGGAAAGGGGGCTCTTCCCTGTCCCATATGGATGGCTTTAAGGGTACCAATTATTTCACAAGAAGCCACATAGGTGGGTAAAGAGCTGCCATTTTAACTGAAACTTGTTTCACATGTTCTTATTTCAAAAATGGTGTTAAGCCGCATACCACTAGACTAGTGCAATAGGTAAAAACAGAGAAACATCATTTCCATTATGTCACACAGATCTGCTACCAATGCGCAATATACTTCTGCTCCATGAAGCCAGTACCAGTTCTGAGATACAAATAAATTAAAATGTTGTCTTACATTATCCACAGCAATTCCTTCAAAAATTGATCCGTGAAAATTTAGAACATTGCAGTCCTCAGATACTTGGATTCTCAATCAGCAGGGGATTATTTTGAGATTATTGTTCAAGTACAGTTCATATTGCCCTGCTCAGCACAACTGAATGGATTCAAACACTAACCCATTCACTAATGGAAAGTGTGGGTGGAGGGAATGGATGGGTAGGCAGGAGAATTACAGTCATTTTTCATTAAGGCAGTTTGTTACTGATACTGACTTCAGTGGAATCAGGATTGCAGCCTTAATGGCCTGCAGTTGCCCTGTAGAAATACAGATGAAAATACCTGCATTCTCAGATACAAAATTCAGACAAAACAGCAAACACTTGCTTAATAATAAAAATGGCCCTAGACAATTTTTAGACCAAAAAAACACAATGGTTTCATTAGCTAAATTGATGCCATCATTTGATCCCACTAATCCAACTACAACTTGAATTTAAGTCGATTTCCAAAATGGTTCCAGAGGAACCTAACTGAAAGCAGTCGACAAAGTACTGCACTGTGAAACTTTGTCTGTATAGCGTCTTACAGAATATGTCCTTTCCAACAATATTTGGGTACAAAGCAAAGCTGGATGTGTTCTTATGCAAGTACCAAATGTCTTCAGTTGGAGACTGAAATAATTTAATGAACACAGCCACACAGTAACAAGCATATTTAACATGATCCTTCCCTATGCAGGTGTAGCACCAATCCACAGATTTATCACAGCATTCAACACAAGTTCCTAAGATTATTAGGTGATCCAGGAAATGGGAAGTCTGTACATGCTTCTCATGTCCCCCTTCTTATGACATTCCCTGGTTGAGTGGAGGGGATGGGTAGGAAAAGTGGTGCAGGCACAAGAGAGCTATGTATGCACAAATCTGTTAAAACTGAGAGTTCAGCTGTGCACACTGAAGAGAGTAAGGACAGTATGTAGAGGACAAAGATCCCTTATGCCCTAGAGTGATCCCTTTGCAAAAAAGTGGAAGGATCATGCTCTTAAGAACCACTGTATTTAAAACAAACAAAAGGCTCAAACAACACACATCTGTTTTAGAAACAAATGCACATGAGATGGCAATGTAGTCAATCATAGTCTCTCTCTCTCTCTCTTTTAATAGTAAATTTTGGTTCCTGTAGGAATCCCAGTTGACTTAAGAAGAGAGCATCTACTGCATTCATCAATGCCTGTTGTTCGATATGCAATTAGGAAATCTTATGTGTCAAAAATAATGTAAATCCCAATAGTGGATTATAAGGTAAAGCTGAAAATTTTTGTACAGTGAATACTGTAGAAGATAGTAGGACCTCACTTTTACTGTTTTCGGAAAATAAAATCAAGCCATCTGCTGCCAGTAAACGAACTCCATATTAATGTCCAATGATAACATATGGATTTGGTGCACAGCGGCAACTGAACAGGGAAGAAGCAACTTCTGTATTTATCTAACTGCACTATTAAGTACCTCAAGAGGAAAACTGCTAAGATTGCACTATCATGAACTGGTATCAAGAACTGGCCAAAACACTTATCCTATGTAGCCCTAATTGATTTTTACAAGCTTGCTTAGCTGGAGCTCTGATTGGAATTGATGCAATGCTCAGGACACACAAGTGCTTAATGTATCATCCAGTCTCATGGTACAGAATCTTTTAAAGAAATATGAGAATCTGAATGACTAGCTAGTAGAAATAGGGCAAGGCAGTTTATGTTGATTGGGTTAGGTATATGACCATGGGGTCTCCTTAACAAATATCTGTTTGGGTTTAGAAAGACTAAGTTACATGCATAACTTAGTTACAGTTCAAGTTTCGCCAATTTGTCAGTCTTTAAAATAATAAGTTTAAAAAATAATTTCTTATGGGCAAAAATATAATTTTAAAGATATGCCTCTCTATAGACTGGAAAAAAACATGCTGAATTTAGACTTAAACTGTTTGCTGATCTGTTTCTGATCTTATTTGAATCATAAAGTTACAAAACATTTTCTTAAAGTCAAAATAGTGCCTTTGAGGTCCATAAATTTTTTTTTGGTATAAAAATAATAGTGTTTTCTCTCTCTTGCTTTCAATGGTTAGCTTAGCCCCACTACTGTAAACTAACATTTCTCACATCAATTGCTTCCATTAGGCACATTCAAGTAAATAATAAAATATCCAAGTTAACAATGACAAAAGCCAAACTTGGCTTGATAAATTTTTACAGAGACAACTGTCCATTCTCTGGAATGGAATAAATAGTCACTTCCCTCAGCCAACGATTCAGGTGGTTTGATGTTAGTATCCATTCCCATTGTGCAGAATAGTTTCTTTTTTCAAAAAGTTCACCTATTCTACAATTAGAAGAACCAGCATCAAAGAATCTGCATTTCAAAGGAAGCAGAACTGCAAACATGAGTGAGAAGTTCTTTCTGTCAGTAGATAGCTGAATGAACACTGGTCCAAAGCAGAGAGTTAATGACCATCAGAAACAGGATTGCTGGTCCAATCCAGAATGATCAAGGTCATACAGCCAACCATCACGACTATGCCACTAAGCAGGAAAAGAAGAGCCTACAGAAAAAGGCACAAAAATACAGGAGGTATTATTTTATGAGGGAAAAGCACGGCATGATACAAAGAACATGTAAATGGATGTATAACACAGCATAGACAACATTACTATATATAGTAATTACTATATATGGTAATTTTAATGATGATTGCACAGTCCAAAAGACAGCCTTTAAAATCCTTTACCCTTTGTGTAAGGTATAGCACTTAAAAGTTACAGAGAAAGTTCTGTGGCATACATTTCCTTTACATCAGAATAGATAACTGCTTTACATGGAGGGCCAATGGTTAGTCCACAGATAGAGCAGATCCTTTCAATGAATGGTGTTTACACGAAGTGTCAATTTACCATACAGTGAGTCTACTCTAGTTGGGACAAACAACTGGATTTAGCCTAATAGCCACTATTATGATTTTATAACAGCCTCCTGCTAAACTCACTTTTCTAATCCCTTTAGTTTGTTTTGATCTGAATGAGAACCTATTTAAAGAGGTAAATCCTTGGCATTTGCCAAATTTAATATTAGTTACATGTGCAAAATTGCACCATCATCCAAAGGAAGGACAAAGGATAACAAAAAAAGAGATCACGCTGGGTCCATGTTATTGTAACTGGACAATGTAATGGCCCCTGTGATGGAAAGTAACTTTTCAGATGGTTGATTATTCAAAGAAAAAATGAATAGTGGGAATGAAAGCTAGAATTCCAATTCCTGAAATGACCTTAAGCAGTGGACTGTCTAAAAAGGGAGGATGGGAGAAATAAGAAAATCCCATGAGACATGGGAGATGATATTTCTATGCCATTTTGTTCACTTGATAGTTCATCACTGTGTTGTTGCTGCCAGTAATGTAGATCAGTGGTCCCCAGCCTTGGGCCTCCAGATGTTCTTGAACTTCAACTCCCATAAATCCTGGCCAGCAGAAGTGGTGGTAAAGGCTTCTGGGAGTTGTAGTCCAAGAACATCTGGAGGCCCAAGGTTGGGGACCACGGATGTAGATAAACCCAACTAGGAGCAACTCCTTTGTACTTCTTTGCACTTACCCCAATTTTCTGGACAGACTTCATTGATTCCTTCTTCACTAGCTTAATGTAGAAAGCAGATGGAAGTATAAAGATCAGCATGGCAGCAGCAGAGGCACCTGTAATCAATTATATGAATTAACACAATATTAATTTTGTGCTCTACTCTTAAGATTTTTTTTTTTAGGTTTCTGGAAAAAAAAATAACAACTGAACAGTCCTTACCAATGAATCCAAAGATATCTCGAATTGTAGGAACAAAGATCACAAGAATGTTGGTGAAAATCAAAAGAGCTATTGTAATAGCACAGTGGCGCAACCAACTGAATTCTTTGTCAGCGCACAACAACTGGTTGATGGAACTGCGGATCTGGAAAACAGATGGATGCCATTAAATCGCAACTTTTTCAGAGGACATTGGAAGTAATTTATTTTTTAAAAGATGCTCTCACAGAATTGTGAACATGTAAATAGGCCTCTAAACAGAATATCAGGTGGGGAAAATGTTTTTAGAATTCTTAAGATTTAGAGAAACGCAATTTCCCCTAATTAAAAAGCTATTTATGTTTTTATTTGCTTATGTATAGCCTTCATAAAGGACTATGGTTCCCAACCTTCGGCAACCCAGTTATTCTTGGACTGCAACTCCCAGAAGTCTTTAACACTAGCTGTGCTCGCTGGAGTTTCTCAGAGTGACAATCTAAGGATACCTTGGTTACCCAAGGTTGAGAACCATTGATATAGGACATGGGTAAGCCAACAGTTTGGCTTGGATTCTAAGATGCAAGTGAACCTAAGGATGGATGGAAAAATGTTCCCTCCTCTCCATCAGAAGCATATCTAAAATGGTTGGCAGGGGAGTGCTTCTTAACAACATGGAGACTGCAGTAAGTGTGGGGAATTGCCCAGAATTGATAGGAAGACAAGTCAGGGAAGTTTATGGATGTTTCCTATTCCTTCTTCTCTCCAGAAACCTCTTCCCACGTTGTTCAGCAGAGGCTTTTAAAAAGGGGCACAGGATACTGTAGGAAAGGACTAGGGAGGAAACTTTCCGTTTTAAGTTTGCTTATCTTCATAACCCAGACTTCATTTTTAGGCCAAGTCTCCTTCAATGTGCTACATCTTACTTTAAAAGGTACTAGTCCTAAATTAGTTTATTTCCTCTTTTATTATTGAGAAAACCTAAGAAAAAGATAAGTATTTTTCTCTGTAAGTATTAAAGTCACTTACTGGAAAAATGACAACTGGTACAGTAAGAGTTACTGCCATTAGGACAGCCAAACGCACAATAAGGAGAAGAACATCAGATCCAAGGACTTCAGAATACGTATGAAGCAACTCTGGCTCAACATTTCCTACAAAGAAAATTGAATGTTTGTAAAACTTCAAGGAACTTTAATATATGCATAACACAATAGCAAAATCTCTATACATGGCTCGAAGTGGAATTCTGAAGTTGTGGGTAGATAATGCAATATAGCCCTGTCAACTAGGAAAAGGAATTTATCCCTTCCTTAATAATAATAATCATCATCATCATCATCATCATCATCATCATCATCATCATCATCATCATCATCATCATCATCATCATTATTATTATTATTATTTGTCATTGTAAGTATATACACAATATACCCATACAACGAAATTCACAGACACCCAGAGACCAGACACCATAAACTTACCAATCACATATTTTAAATCATATTGTTTTTAAAACCATTCTAATCTCCTGTCCCTACAATGTCTGTGTCACCAATATTACTCACACTGGGTTGAATCCAGACTTTGTCACATTGAGAGCAGACCCACTGAGATGAAGAGGTTCACATTAACTATGGCTCACTTACACCCCATTGATTTCAGAGGGCCTGTTTTAAATGTGATGAAGTCTGAGTTGAACTTATTATACAATACAAATTTATTATACAGCCAAAGGCCCGATTAGAATTGAACTTATTGTGATCATGTCAAGTTGAAACTAGAAGACACTTCTTAAGGGTCCCATCACAGATTACACTAATATCTGTAAAATATAAAGCACCTACAAGTACAGTGGGGTCTTGACTTGAGAACTTAATCCGTATTGGAAGGCGGTTCTCAAGTCAAAAAGTCTGTAAGTCAAGTCTCCATTGACCTACAGTGCATTGAAAACCGATTAATCCCGTA